TGGTGATTGCGATTTTTCTTCTCATTCTTTCCGTTTCTCCACCCTTTAACCACCTAACAAGTTTTTTTTTAAGCAAATTAGCCGAAAACAGCCACAGCCCGCGAGGAATAAATGATGGAGCTCGGCTGAGCCACCACACCAGGGACCGAAAAATACTCTGGTAAGTTATATCCTTTTCCCGTTCACTCTATTCTCCCTGCCCTTTAGCCGTATAACTTGTTTCCGATGCAGGGTGATCGAAAAAACCACGAACCGTGAGGAAGGAACGATGGAGCCCGGCTGAGCCGCTGCATTGAAGACTGAAAAATGCCAGTAAGCCTCGATTTTCCTTTTTTTCCGTCGATAGAACCTCCTAATTATGAATTAAATAGGTTTTTATCAAGAATCGACCAAAAACAACCTGACCAAGAGGACGAGCCACTGGAGAATGAGGACCCAGCGGTGGAGCACGGCGGCGCCGCAGTGCAGGAACCCCAACCCCAACCCTGGTGAGATGTTTTTATCCTTTTGTCTATTTATTGCGGTGGGGATTCACAGATGATTCTCAGCATAGAAGAGATCTTAACAAGTTTGATCACCATCTATAGAAGGATTGGACGAGGGATTGATCATCAACTCAAGCATGTATTGCTAGCTTCACATTACAACATGTCCCCTGAAAGGTTAACAAAGAGCACCCCCCTCCACACTAAATTGAAAAACCGGACCCCTTAAGCTAAACCAATAAAGCATTCCATTGAATGAAGCCCACTTCCCTCCGTCAAAGCCACTTTCGAAGAAAACCTCTTTCCCAAAGAGATACCATAAGGAGGAAGGAAAACCCATTGAGAGAGAATCTATCAGTTACTTAGTGTGACACAGCTACCTACGCCGATATGTGTATGTGTACAGGAATGGGTGCAGGAGCTACCCTCTGGTGCTTTGCCGGAAGCCCTTTATCCATCTCAATATATGGAAATTCTACGCATAAAGGCTTTAGTCATGTTAGCAGATGTGGTCACAATCATAGGTGCTCAAGATATTGTGTTTGGAGAGGTGGATAGATAGGACTACTAGTTGCTCGATCAGGACCTTAGCTTTATTGCGAGCTTAGAAGTCTCTATTTTTTCGGTATATCACTCCGCTAGTAGTGCAAAAAAATAGAAATCTAACCTAATATCATGAATATCCTTTGAAAGACACTTTTCTTTTTCTTCTTCCTTCGAGTGTCTATCCTTTTTTCTTTTTGATATCTTCTTTTTTTTTTTTGGTGGGATAGGACCCGAGTGGGCTAGTTTGTTTTCATCATATGTAATGGAGCCTCAATTAGGGCTCAATCTATATTTTTATGCTATTTTGATGTACGTTTCTATTTTAGCAGAAAAACCCAAGAAATCCAGGAATTGATAACCGTCGAAAAAAGTAGTGAAAAAGATAATGTTATGTACATCGACCCAGTGTAAGAATCCCTTACTCATTTTTGTTGTTACGGTTAAATTGAAGTTAAACTGATAATAAATGAAAATTTTAGTTAATTGATGGTCTTTTAATTAATTAAGTAGAAGTGACCAATGGAGTAAGTAACTGGTCAGTCTATCTCTGTTTTGAGTTCCAATTGCAGTAATTATTTCTTCAGTAGTTTATTACACTTATATGTTCACTGTTATTCGCTTTAAGTCTATGGCTAACGTGGTAAGGGTTCTTAATCTATGTTGTCCGATCACTCTATTGTATGTATGATACATTTATGTCGATATAATACATACTTATTTCACGTATGTACTCAAAAATATGAATTTTGTACTCATGTGTTGGTTGAAATACTGATATACGTGTCTTTTAAAGTTAAACAGTAAATAAAAAGAAAAGAAAAGCCTGAATTAATGGTGGTGAATGAAATGGCCCTACCAGGTGTCTTGAAAAAGAGTATACAGACTTGAAGCATAGAGTGGACCCTACAATAGATGTTACCCTCAGTCGTACGAGGTTGAGAAGTCCCATACTAAAAGGAGTTGAGAATTGTTTTAATTATGTTCATACCGGATGAGGTATTGAGGTGGTTGTGTGTTTTGGCGCCCATTATTGGACGAGGTATGAGAACGACCATTTGATCATAGAGAGAATGTTCGTGTCCACGTATAGTGGAGATCCCTATGGACCCCATCACACCGGTAGAAA